AATAACTTGTTAAAATATTTTTTTTCATTCCTTGCTAATAATTATCAAACTTCAATATTATTCAAAATTTAATTATAACTGCGAGCGATAAGCAGGTGTGCAGATCCATGGCGGCTCCAATAGATCCGCGGCGAAGACGCCAAGACATAAACAATCGATAAAGATTTACCGCTAATCGATGGGCAATACTTAGAAATATTTCGACATAGATTTCCATAGAAAACCTTCACCGTAATGAATTTCCAGAACGTAAACTAAATTCTCAGAATGATCTGCACACGGCTCGCAACGCTCTTGGTTCTCAATAGTATATAAGATGTAGATTTTCACCGTCAAGCCAGTAGTAGTACCGGTAGTATCAGTAGTAGTACCGTCAGTCGTCAGTCCCGCCGATCATTCCAACGCTATACTTGTTTTGCATTATACAGTAATATTCACTTGGCATGATTTGCTTTCGACAGACTTGGCTATCTGGGTACTTGCTACAACGTAGTAAGTACCTGCAATTACTAACACCCCTTATATTCTCAAGTTTATTTCAACAATTGACTGACAGCCCATTTGCCCCAAACCACTACCTCAGTTCCTATTCCGTTACTTTTAATAATAAAAGAAATCCCTGTCAAGCATTTGCACGTTGCTGACAGTTTCCTAGTCAGTCAACTTTAATAATCCACATTCTATCTTCCTGCAATCACTTCAAACATCCCTATTATTCTTACTATTATTATTATTAATACTAGACAAATTTAGATTTTGCTTAGCGGCTATTCTGCTGTTGTCACTCGGACGTGGTCCAACCCTTAAAACCCGGTTGCCGAGCTTTATTGTCCTGGTGACACTCTACCCTTTTCCCGAATTTCTATCGTTGTCGAGCATTGTTTTGCCCGGATCGACACTCTCCCATCATCTCCCTATACGATTCCATCGTCCGTCGAGCACATTGTGCCCTTGACGGCCATCGTCTATCGAGCTCATAGTGAGCCCTTGATTGACGCCAACTCTTGAAACCCGGTTGCCGAGCTTTATTGCCCTGGTGACACTCCACCCTTTTCCCGAATTTCCATCGTTGTCGAGCACATTGTGCCCTTGACGACTATCGTCTATCGAGCTCATAGTGAGCCTTTGATTAACGCCTTCCCTTATCTTTGTAACGATACGTTACCAGCCTCGCGGGCCGCCCAGCCGCCCGCAACTCTGAGGCTTGGCGCCTATGGCGCCCCTAAACTTCCACACCCGTGTCTCGGCCCCACCGTGGGGCCGCCTCACCACGCGCCGACTCGCGTGAGTGAGAGGCCGGCCGCCGGTATATAAGGCGCTCCGGCGAGCGTAGCGTTACCAGTTCCCGATCCCAATTCCTGTCACGAACAACTCTTCGGATCCTGAACCGACTCTCGCGTTATACCAGGCTACTGGCTTCCGGTAATTAGGCCGGGCTGCCCGGTTGCTGAAACGGCGCACCTCGCTTTGTACATATACCGCGACCTGCTATATTGTAATACCGTTGTACATATACCGTATCCAGTAAGACCACTCTGGTCTCCGCGACCTGATTCTAGTACCGCCTTGTATATACCGCGACCTGATCATATCGTAAGCCCGCACTGTATATACCGCGCATTCTAACTGTAGAGTTAATTAGACATTATAATGATAATTCCATCGTTATCGAGCATCGAAGTATGCCCTCGATCGGCATTTTTCTCATACCTTAGACCTCCCCTTTGAATTAAAATCTAGGATTGTACGAAACCAGTAAGATCTAGTATTGATGTTAATAATAGACCTTTACCCATAATCAACAAACGTTCCTTTAATCAACACTTCTCTCATTTTTGCCACTATCATAATTCTCCCTCTTAAAATATTATTTCTCTAACTTTCACTATACTACAATTAACACAATACCTAGAGTTATATTAATCTAAGATTTTCCCCAAATAATTAATACGCCCCCTTGCAAATGGTTAACCCGGAACACAGGCTTGCTCTCAGGAAAAAACGGAATCATAGAGCCGGTGTAAAAACGCGTGCTGCACGCTTTTCCTCCGAGTTGTCTCGGCTTAACCGATTACATAGTAAAAATAAACCTCGAGTAATATCTTGTGAAAAGGTCTCTTTGTCTCCAGATACTATAAATCTGTTAAAATATTCTCATAAACCTCAAAAAGACAGTCAAGAAGATTTTCAAAGAAAAACATCAACGGAACCTCTCGAAAGCAATTCAATTACTAACGCTCCTTGCATAAGCGATCCTACCGGTCTTTTCACTTATACATCGGAATTCATATTACTAAACGAATTGTATCAAAATATAAATCATTCTAAAGAAAGTTGTCGCGACGAAAATCAAACAACTCCCCGGGACCTGATTTCTCAGTTAAAAGACCACGCGCCGATTTCAACTTCGCGCACGGCCTTCAAATCACTAAGGAGCGTCAGTCCTTTTCAGGATAGAACGCCGAGAACGCCGACGCCCCGTCCTTTTAAGGATAAGGCAGTCCGGCAGTTGGAATAACGTTGAAGGCCACGCGACACCCCGTAGAGTTTAAGATCTGTACTGTACCCCAAAGATTAGTAATAGATTATTTGCATGCGAACACCGCGATTTCAGAACACGGCCGCTTGAGCCACGCTCGCCTCCCGAGCTCCTCGCTCACGCGCGAAACTCTGTACGCACCGTTCCCGCATGCTGCTTCGCATGCTTTCAGGGTTAACCTATTTTTTGTAATAACCGCTTGAATAAACCTAATTATTTAAACCGCTTATACGGAGGCACAGTAAGTTGGAGTTTTCCCCTTCTCCCAAATCCTGGCATCGGCGAGCCTTGATCCGCGGCATACGGGAAAGGTGAACCGTTACAAAGTTGTCGCAACGAAAATCAAACGACTCCCCGGGACCTGATTTCTCAGTTAAAAGACCAATTGCCTAAAGAACACTTAAAAATAGATGAATACGCTAGATATTTAGATTCATAATTAATCAGCAATGCAAGATGTTCCATTAATTTTCGGATAATGAACTTTTATATACTAATGAGCAAGTTCAAGCCATAGTAAGTCGCATGCGCGATCAAATCTTAACTTTAATCGCTAGACTTATTATCGATTTTATAGACGGCAATTTGGATATAGATCAACTAATTGCTCTGCTTGAAAACCCTGAAGACCCTCGAAATTGAATATATTTAATTGCGCATGCTCATATCCCTAGGATTAACATCCAGTAAAATTACTCTAGTAAAGGTTAGTTCCGTGCCTAACGTCATTCCCCTAGAATCCACCAGATCAGTCCTAGCTCCTTAGAACATATATAAATGGAAGGGGAATAGCAGGCTGAAAAGTGTCGAAGACAGTGAGAAAGAAATCGTAGTTGCCTCTCTCTTGTGAGTTACTTTGCTCAAAAGAGAGAGGCAACTATGATTTTCTTTCTTACTTCCTTCCGACATGTTTTTCTATCGGGAAACAAAGGCATTCCCCTTCCATTTATATATGTTCCAAGCCTAGCTCTCGGCGTCCCTGGGATCAGAGAGAAGAATGAGAGTCGCCACGCTGCCGTTTTTCGTGTGACGCTTTTTCTAGGTCGTACACTAGCGTCACGTACATCCATTTTAAGCCGCCTGCTGTCTTTGTCTCTCTTTCATTGCGTATGTGTGTAGCGTCCGTGAAGGCACACACCGACACGTTGAGCACACGGATGCGATTGTTGGGAGATAATATCAGACAAGGAGCGACAATCGCGTGCTATCCTTGTTCCTCTAACGTATCGCTTACGGCCGAAATACGGCCTGAAAATGCTTTCTTCATTGTGTACTTCTATGTACCCCCCTTACCTCAGGGAACGAATCGTTGACTACGTTTATACCATAGAGCTCTGTTACACGGCACCCTTAATCGGGTTTAATAACATCCGTAGTTGTAAAACTGACCAATCACAGCTATTTCTCTGAAAAATGGAATGACTGTGATTGGCCAGCTTTCGAAATACGGATGTTATTAAACCCGATTAGGGGTGACGTGTAAACGTAGTCATAGACTTATAGAAATAGACTGCGCATCCCTGCAAAAGACTGTCTTAAACATTAGAAAGAGAGAGCGATAGCAGTAGGATCTCTTTCTCTTTCTAATCGGCTATGCGGTGGGAGAGAATTGTAGGAGAGCGAGACTGCGAGACCTCCCCAAAGTTAGCCCCCCCACTTTGACTTTTGGGAATTTTCTTTTTATCAATCGATTGGTGGTTGATTGGTAATGTTTGGTATCACATTAAAAAAGTTTGGTAGTTTCCCGTTTTTTGACAAAATCGTAAACAAATTTTTGATCTTTTTTTAGCTCACGATGCGTCCTGCAAGGGTGGTGCGTACAGACATTCGCGTACAGAGTTTCGCGCGTGGCTGGTGCGCGGGAGCTCGGGAAGCGAGCGTGGCTTATGCGGACGTGTTCTGCGTTCGCGAGGTTCGCATGCAAGCAACTATGGTTATTCTAAGCGGAACAGAACAGATCTTAAATGCTACGGGTGTCGCGTGGCCTTCGTTCGTAGTTCCAACGGCCTGACTACCTTATCCTTAAAAGGACGGGGGACACTTTCGGCGGCCTACCCTCAAAAGGGCTAGCACGCTCGTGTAGTCTCAAGGCCGTGTGTACAGGTGGAGTCGGCGCGACACTGACGGAAATCGTAATATGGCTCTACAATTATAATGCGCGGTATATACAGTGCGGTCTTACGGTCTAAACAGGTCGCGGTATATACAAGGCGATACTAGAGTCTATTAGAGCGCGGAGACCAAAGCGGTCTTATGATATAAACAGGTCGCGATATATACAACGGTGCTAGAGTCCCTTAGGACGCGGAGACCAAAGCGGTCTTACGGTACAAACAGGTCGCGGTATATACAACGGTGCTAGAGTCCCTTAGGACGCGGAGACCAAAGCGGTCTTACGGTACAAACAAATCGCGGTATATACAAAACGGTCTCACGGTATAAAGCGGTACAGACTTATCAACTAGCAGGAGGCGCCGTCCCAGCAACCGGGAAGCCAACCGCCGGTTGGGGTGGTGGCCCGATATTTGCGCGTGATGTTCGCGCAGTGCCAGGGCACCACCACCGTATGTCCGTCATCCAGGGTGACTCTCACGGGCGGTGGTGGCGCCCTGGTTGCCCAAGCCGTGGTGGTCGTGGCGGGCAGGGCCGCTCGGGTGGCTGTTGCGGCCTGTGGGGCCGCCGCTTGGGTGGTAGTCGCGGCGGCGCACACGGTCCCACCTCCCCCGGCGGTAGTCCGTTCGGGGGGAGTGAGTCGTGCCGGTCGAGGACGACGTGGATTGATTTGTCTCATTATTCTGTACATAAAAATATTACAGTAAGATTATCGAGAACTAAATATTTTACGATATATTTTTTTTTTTCTATCAAAATATGTCAGATTAATATATAAAATAACTCAAAAAGTACTTAATGAAAAAATACTTTATTAAGGTATCAATGTAGACTCCTGACCATCAGAGAAGGAGGACAGCGAAACGTCCGTGCTCCTTCGTCTTCTGTTGAGCCTTTTTACGGAGGTGACCACAACACCACTGTCAATGCCCCTGCGAATCTCCTCGTCGGGCAAATCGAGGGGTGTTACGACTTGTGCCGTATTTCCAACAGGTGAGGAATAAAGATTCAATCGCACGTCGTTTCGATTGTGAGATCACTTTATTGAGAATGGCCGGGAACCGGCACTTTCAGGGTTACCAACATAAAAACTTGCATTGCTGCTAACTTGAGAACAATATATGGTAGCCTCGCGTGATAGGGCTAAACGTAGGCGCAAATGAGAGCGGGAAATCCAACAAAAGGAACATTACGAATAATGCCCTTCCTTGTTGTTCTGGAAAGAGGAATATAGGCATTGTATCTTTTTGTTTTAAGGATGGGATTAGAGATTAAGCTGTTTGCCGCCTCTCACCAACCGCGATAGGGTCGATTGAAGACGTGGAATTTTCCGAAGATTGGATAATAACATCGAAGGGGCCCTGCGAGGTTCTATCATACTTATTTGTATTCGAAAGAGACGAAAGGTCAAATTCACTTCTATTAACAAAAGAGTCACAAACATGTTTACCTGAGCTCGAGTCATCCGCCTCCCCCATCCCGTCGCTACCACCTACCGAAGAAGGCAAATTCCTTTCCATTTACTTGCGCTTATTAGGAATATTAAATTTAATGGACTTTTAATTTAAAATATCGTGCACGTTATTAATTACTAAAGAAGCAGTTGCTAAAAGCTTTGGTTTAAGCGAAGGATCCTCCTTAGGGTCCTGGGTCGGCATAACAGCAGGAAAAATCGCCTGGCCGGAAAACCGGCCGGCGGCAATGGCGAGTTACTACGCACCACAGAAGCGCAAAAGCACGCAAACAATAAATAAATAAAGTAAGAGATGATAGTTCACAGTCAGATTCGAGCAGTATAACATGCAGCACTATAAATGTTACTAAAAAGTTGAGATGGGCTCCAAAAACTGTTCTCGCACTAATTCAGTTCAAGACTCACCAGGCAGCACGTGTTCACCGTATCACCGACTTGGTTCAAATCCCAGCACCTGCCACAACTGAATGTCGCGGGCGCGAAAAGCACCAGCGCAGGAATTCAGATAGTAGATGAACATGCGGAAGAAGCGTTCGGTGTGTTGCTTCTGCAACTGCGGCCAGGCGGCGATAAGGCGTTCATGCCAGGCCATGAGGGTACGGTCATAATCCGCACCAAAATTATGCCAGTCTTCCATAACAAAATGCGGTTCGCTGGCTTCCGCGATATGCTGGACAGAGGGCGCGCAACCGTTGGGGAAAATATATTTGTTGATCCACGGGTCGAGAGTCATACTGGTTTTGTTGGCGCCAGTGGTTTGCAGTAAAAACAGACCGTCAGGCTTCAGATTACGATAAATCACGTCAAAATAGGTGGGGTAATTTTTAGGCCCCACATGTTCAAACATGCCGACCGAAACGATGCGATCACACTGCAAATCCAGATCGCGATAGTCCTGCAGCAAAATGGTGACATCCAGCCCTTCGCAACGTTGCTGGGCTAGCTTTTGCTGCTCGGCAGAAATAGTAACACCATGCACCCTAATGCCATAATTTTTCGCCGCATATTGCGCCAGACCGCCCCAGCCGCAGCCGATATCCAACAGCGTCATGCCAGGTTGCAGCTGAAGTTTCTGGCAAATCATCTCTAACTTGTTCTGCTGAGCCTGTTCGAGAGTCGTGACATGATGCCAATAACCGCAGGAGTATTGCATGTAGGGATCGAGCATCAGGGTAAACAGGTCGTTACCCAAATCGTAATGGTTTTTGCCAACAATCGATGCTTGCTTGCGGGACTGAAGATTGATCAGGCGTATTACGGCGATGCGCAGAGTATCCTTGAAATTATGATGTTTATTATGTAATCCGGCGCGTAAAATGCGGTGGAATAAAATATCCAACCGGTCGCATTCCCACCAACCATCCATATAACTTTCACCGAGACCCAGTGAACCATCTTGTAACACGCGTTTAAAAAACTCAGGGTTTTTTACACGGATATCAAAAGGACGTGAGCCGTTGATCTCGATGTCAGCCTCAGTGATTAATAATGTCGCGGGCGCGAAAAGCACCAGCGCAGGAATTCAGATAGTAGATGAACATGCGGAAGAAGCGTTCGGTGTGTTGCTTCTGCAACTGCGGCCAGGCGGCGATAAGGCGTTCATGCCAGGCCATGAGGGTACGGTCATAATCCGCACCGAAGTTATGCCAGTCTTCTAATAAAATTGGAAGACTGGCATAACTTTGGTGCGGATTATGACTGGTCTTCTAATAAAATGCGGTTCGCTAGCTTCCGCGATATGCCGGTCAGAGGGCGCGCAACCGTTGGGGAAAATATATTTGTTGATCCACGGCTCGAGAGCCATACTGGTTTTGTTGGCGCCAATGGTTCGCAGTAAAAACAGACCGTCAGGTTTCATATTACGATGAATCACGTCAAAATAGGTGGTGTAATTTTTAGGCCCCACATGTTTAAACATGCCGACCGAAACGATGCGATCACACTGCAAATCCAGATCGCAGTAGTCCTGCAGCAAAATGGTGACATCCAGCCTTTCGCAACGTTGCTGGGCTAGCTTTTGCTGCTCGGCAGAAATAGTAACACCATGCACCCTAATGCCATAATTTTTCGCCGCATATTGCGCCAGACCGCCCCAGCCGCAGCCGATATCCAACAGCATCATGCCAGGTTGCAGCTGAAGTTTCTGGCGAATCATCTGTAGCTTGTTCTGCTGAGCCTGTTCGAGAGTCGTGACATGATGCCAATAACCGCAGGAGTATTGCATGTAGGGATCGAGCATCAGGGTAAATAGGTCATTACCCAAATCGTAATGCTTTTTGCCGACAATCGACGTTCATTTGCGGGACTGAAGATTGATCAGGCGTATTACGGTGATGCACAGAGTATCCTTGAAATTATGAAGTTTATTATGTAATCCGGCGTGTAAGATGCGATGAAATAAAATATTCAACCGGTCGCATTCCCACCAACCATCCATATAACTTTCACCCAGACCCAGTGAACCGTCTTGTAACACGCGTTTAAAAAAATCAGGGTTTTTTACACGGATATCAAAAAGACGTGAGCCGTTGATCTCGATGTCAGCCTCAGTGATTAATTTATGGACAATTCGATACCAAGCGTTATCTTGAAAGCGCGGGTCTTCGATACTTGAGGAACTCATAGCTTCTTTATTACCTTTCTTTGAAATGACTCGTCAGGAAAAGCCAGGCAATGCCTGCGACCCTAGAAACTGAACCACACCGGCTTTTTTGGAGAGTGTTTTGTTTGAGCCCTTAGACTGCTATATCTCCAGCCCGTTGAGAATCGTAATATGCTTTTTTCTGCTTCCACTGGCGGTATGTAACCGATTCGTTTCAGCAGCCGTTGTTGAACTAGTCTATCCAGTCCAGTGTGGTCAATTCTACCTCCTGCCTGCTTTCTCAGCTTTTATAATATATCATTCCCGCCCCAACGAGAAATGACTCATCGAATTGATATCGAGTCGACATTGCAAACATATTGAAAACTGATATATTCATCGATTTCGATTGATTTATGTGAAATATTTATTATTCATATTATTCATACATTATTTATATCCCCAGCAAACATATATTATAACAGTTATTATATAACATTGGAGTAAAAAATTAAAATAACAGCTGTTATATCTTTATTATATGTATAATTGTAAAATACCATCTGTTTACTGTTGCTATATAATATACTAGCAAACACATATTTTATATATATATATGACCTATATAGATATTTATTATAATTAATATATACATAGTGAAGGGAATCGAAAATAAATAAGAAATTAGTTTTCTAAATGATTATAAATTTATTCGATTGAGTACATAAAGTTATGTTGGTAGCAAATTATATAAAATTTATTAAAATTATATATTTGTGTGTGTGTGTATGTTTCTGTGTGAAAGAGAGAGAGAGAGAGGGGAGAGAGGGAGGGAGAGAGAGGGGAAGAAAGAGAGTGAATGAGAGGGGGAAGGAGAGGGAGAGAGAGAGGGAGAGGGGGGGAGAGGGAGAGAGAAAGAGAGAGAAAATGGCCCTCTGGATACAAATCGTATCCAGGAAAGCATGCCTGAAGGCCGTCGCATTGTCGACATTGGTTTTCTGTGGAATGAAATCCACAGAACATTTGATAATCATGCGCGAGGGATAGAGTGCCAATTTAAAGATTGGAAACTCATTAATTCTCGTCGCCGCGGGTTAATGACGCAGTTGTTCTTAAAGTGCCAAATGTGCAATTATGAAGCCAACATCTGGTCAGAATCCGTAGAGCAGGAAATAATGGACATTAATATAGCTGCTGTAGCAGGAACTGTTACAGTAGGAATTGGTTATGCTCAGCTGAATGAGCAGTGTACAGCCATGAATATTCCTTGTATGACCGAGCCAAGGTACATAGAAAATAGAGAAAAGTTAGTCGATGCTTTTCAAAAAACAGCCATAGAAAGTATGAAAAAGGCTGGCGAAGTTGAAAAACAACTCGCTCTTGAGAGAAACGAAGTTATAAACGGTATTCCGTATATAACAGTTGTAGCGGATGGTAGTTGGATGAAGAGATCGTATGGCAATGCCTACAATTCTCCTTCCGGTATTGGAGCCATAATTGGTTACCGTACGAAAAAGATTCTCTTTGTTGGTGTCCGCAATAAATTTTGTGCAGTATGTGATATGGCAGAACGAAAAGGTATCAAATCAAAAACTCACAAATGCTACAAAAATTTTAATCGCAACGAAAGCTCCACAAGGATGGAGAGCGATGCCATCGAGGAAGGTTTTAATTGTAGCCTCGAAATGCATGGGCTGATTTATAAAACAGTTATTGCCGACGGTGACAGTAGCGTTTATCAGACCGTTATTGATAACAGACCATATAGTGAACAGATGGTCACAGTAAAAAAATAGAATGCACGAATCATTTACTTCGCGATTTATGTAAAAAGCTCAAAGCTGTGACAGAGATGACTCAGCCAAAAACTCAAAGGCAGCGTGGCTTTACAGAATTGCGAAATGTTGTGAAAACATGAAAAACAACATGAAAAACATCATGAAAAACATCAGAAAAGAAGTAGAAATAGCAGCCCAGCTACGAAGAAAAGATCAACAAACACCTCAACATTGTAAGGCTATGGAATTGCAGAAAGATATATTGAACATTCCTAGCCATGTTTTTGGCGAACATAAGCGATGAGAAGCACGCGGTATATGCGAAGAGAATGATAATAAAACGAACAAAAATTATGTTCCATTGTTGAAAATACATGGCCTGTATAAAAAAATAGAAAGCGCTATCACATATCTAAGCGGTTATTCAGACAGCTTATTGCTGAATTTAACTAATAATCCTGCAGGATCGTTTAATTCGATAATCTGCAAAGAAATTGGTGGAAAGCGTATTCATTTTGGTAAACGAGGCTCTTACAATGCCAGAGTTGCGGCAGCAGCTGTGCAATTTAATACGCAACAAGTCCTTACAGAATTACATAAGAGCATGGATAAAACTGTTCCATCTATTGTTGAGAATGTAGAAAAGAATCGACAAAAAAAAATTGCGAAAACCAGAGAACCTCGAGAAGTGCAAGGAAGGCAAACAAATTTCAAACGAGAGACAGGAACAGATCGTTATTATGGTCCGCAGTCTCAAAAACCAGATCTTCCATCTGATGTATTTGAACAACTTCGGCAAAATCATTTAGAAAAGTTGTTCGAAAATGCGAGAAACTGGAAGAAAATTGAATTCGATACGAGAAACCAAAGTGACTCGGAATTATGGTTATCATTGAGACGAGAAATGTTGACCGCATCCAATTTTGGAACTGTATGTCGTTTGAGACCGACAACGTCTTGCGCAGCAACATTAAAAGCCATTTTATATCCTTCGTTTATTGATACCGCAGCCCTAAAATATGGTCGCGAAAACGAAAAAATAGCAAGAGACGAATTGGCTGAAAAATTAGATAAAGAAATAAAACTTTGCGGATTATTTATTGATACTGAAAATCCGTGCTTGGGTGCTTCTCCTGATGGAATTATTGACGAAAATGGTCTAGTGGAAATAAAATGTCCTCTGTCAGCTGAGCATTTGACAGCAGAAACAGCTGTAGAGACATTACCTTCTTTGAAAGGTATCTTTGATAAAAAAGATCCACACAAAATGAATAGAAATCATCGATATTTTTATCAAGTTCAAGGTCAGTTGAACATAACACGGCGAGAATATTGTATTTTTGCTGTTTGGACTCCACAAAGCATGAAAATATTGCGCATTGATGCAGACAATATCTTTTGGAGAAATCAAATGCTACCTTACTTAACACGTTTCTATAAGGAATGCATGCTTCCAGAAATCTTGGATAGTCGTCATAATAGGCACATGCCAATCAGAAATCCAGGATATATTATAAAAGCTAAAGAAGAAGCAGCAAAAAAAAAATAGTGATTATGAGTCGAACAAAGAAACAAAATATAGTAGAAAGCGAAAATGGCACACAAGAGAGCAAACAATTCAAACTGAACGTTTCGTTAATAGAAGCAAAAATTACTGATACTGCTGATATTGCTCTGAATAAAGAGGAAGATGATGATTGCATTATCACAAGTTATTCTAGTAACGAGCGAGATATATCTGAAGACGATATAAAAAGAAATGAGAAACTGTTAAACACAATTGCTCCTCTTTATTTGGTAAAGGATAATGTCTTGCGTATGACAAGTCAATTAAACGATGAATCGTTGGATCTATTTTTGCGTATCATAAGAGAAACTTCTCATTTCGAAACGCAAAGTGTGCTTTATTTAGAATACCCTCACATGATTAAAGCTAGTCGTAGTGATAATAGCTTACAAATAATTGGAGGGAATTGCAGTAATCATTGGAGATGTATTTTCTTTGACGGTACCCCAAACTTCGCGTGTACGATAGTATACCTGGCTGTACATACGATAAATTGGTAGCTAAAGAGAAAAATTATATACATCTTCGTTATCCAACAATAAGCTCGAGTGACATAATTTTTGAAAAGGTTCAAACACAACCTGATGGCATATGTTGTGGAATTTTTGCTGCCGCCTTCGCCACGACTATAGCCTTAGGAGGCAATCCTTGCGTGGAAAAATACTCCAAAAATGTAAAATGCATGAG